CATTGGGGGTCCCTGGTGAGACCCCAGGCTTTCCCCTCCGAGCCGGCTGCCCACCCTCAGGGGGACCAGGAGGCCAGGGGGCTTGGCAGGACCCGGCCCTGGATTACGACGGACCGGGATGAAAAAGGGCGCTGTTCCCCTCCTTCCCTCCCCTTTAGGGTGCCCCCCCTGAGAGGCGGCCACCGGGGGGGGGGGGTCTTCTTCCCCCACGTACCGCTGGGGAGGAGGCCGCAGTACTCCTGGCACTCTTTCTCCAGGTAGAACTTGTTGGCGTTGCCCCCGCAGCCCTGGAAGGTGAGGCACTTGCCCTGCTTGGCATCGAAGGCCCAGAATGTGTCCTTGCAGGCGTCTCCTGGGATGATCGGCAGGCGGCAGGCGGCTGCGGGCAGAGAGGGAAGGAGAGGTTGCCGCTTGAGGGCCCGTGCGGGACGGAGGAGGAGGGCCCAGGCACCACTGGCCCCCGTGTTGTGGTTCGCCAGCAGCAGGTGCGGATGGCTGAGGCCTCGGAGAGCGAGGACTCAGAGGAGGGGCCTGCGTGGGATGCAGGGATGGGGCCAGGACCATCAGGGAATGGAATGCTGCCTTTGGAGATGGTGGAGGCTGGCAGCAATGAGGAAGAGTCCCCCGAGGAGCCTGTGCCAAGTGCACGTGCACGCAGGACTGCTCGAAGGAAAGAGCAGCTGCAGCAGCAGGGGTGACTCGGGAATAAGGCTGCAAGGTGATGGCCCCTCCCTTAAGGGATAAAAGCCAGCTGAGAAACTGGAGTTCTTTGCAGGAAGCAAAGAAGTTCTTGCCCTTCAAGACTTGCGGAAGTTCGGATTATCTTGGTTTGTATTTGAAGACTTTTTGTTTGGAATATTTTATGGCAACTTCATCTAGTGCTTTTGGCAGCCTTGCACAACCTTGGCAAGGCTCGTTCTTATCAGAGACAATTCGTTCGAAACAGCCTTTTAACCGTGAAGGAACGGAATTCGCAGAGAAGCATCCAAAGGTTTCGCTTTTATCTCGGCTTGGTGTTTGTTCCCTTGGAACAAGGTTTGGGTCAGAACACCCTGCTGCACTCACCCTCTGTCCGGCAGGTCTGCAGGCAGCTGCGCTCCGAGGGGAATTTGTTTTGGTTTCCCCGGCACCCGCCGTAGAAGAATTTCTCGCAGTTCTGGGACGTGGTGTTGTAGAAGTAGTGCAGCTCCATCCCCAGGCAGGGACCGGCGTCTTTGGGCTGCAGGCAGAAATCTGCATGGTGTGGGGGGGGGGAGAGGCTTACGCCAGCCCAGTTGGAGTATCGGCTGCACCCGGGAGAGCCGTTTCAGGCAGGAGGGGAGGAATAACCCGTGGCGGACATCATCGGAGTCCTGCCCACACTGCCGGTCCCCCCCCCTGTCCCCCCCCAGTCACTGGCTGCCCAGCCAACGCAGGTCCTTTGGGGGCAGCTGTGGGGAGAGGAAAGGGGCTTAAGGCCTCCCGGGGAAGCTCACCTTCCTTGTTTACTCCCAGCAATGACTGGGAGTCATCGGCAGAGCCTGCTTCCTCATCCCAGGGGCTCCTCCGGTCTCTCTGGGGGAGAAAATGGGCCAGTCCTGAGCTCAGGTAGGGGCGGGCATTAAGGGCTGAGGCCAGGTAGCCCCCCCCCCGAGGAAACAGTACCTGCAGGTTGAGTTCTGGCTGTGGGGGCACACACTCCCCTGAGGAAAGAGACGCCGGTCAGAGGGGGGCGGGGGGAGGCATCCAGGAGGGGCAGGGGCTCCCTCCCTCGCTCTCTGCCTGCCCCCCACCTCCCCATTCCACCTCCCCCCCCATCTCCTGGCCTGGGAAGCCCCTCTAGCTCCTCGTTTGCCTGGTTCCGTCATTCTGAAGATGGCGTCGTCAGGAATGCCCAGCGCCACGGAGAACTGTCTGAACTCCTCTATCAGCTCCTCAGGCAGGTGGGGGCTCCTCCCTGGAAGGGACAAGAGGGCGGCACGACTTTGGCATTCCCTGCCGTATTGAATCCCTCCATTGCTGAGCGGAGCCTCCCCCTTCAGGAGCAGGCTACCTCGTCCTACGAGCGCCGGCCAGGGCCGGCGGGCTGGCATCGCTTGCATTGCAGGGCTCCCCCCTGAGCCTTGGGGGGCTCTGGGAGGCAGCCCAATGAGTCTCCCATTTCCTTTTCTCCCCCAAAGCAGCCAAGGGAGGGGGGGAGGCTGACCCAGCTGTTGGCCAAGAGACCTGGAAACATGTCCCTGAGCGGCAGCCTCTCTCTCTCTGCCTGGCCCTGCTCCCGGAGGACCAACCCTCCGGCCTACCCCCTACCCCGCCTTCTGAAAATCAGGGTAAACAGGACACCCGTGGGCGGAGCCTTCTTTTGCCCTTGAGCCCCAATCCACCTTGCCCCCCCCCCCCCCCCCACTCCTGGGTGGGCTCCTCTGCTGGGGATCAGGTGTGCGTGCGCGCGTGTATGTGCGCCATGTCTTCCAGCTGGGGGCCCAGAGAGAGAGGAGCGTCTTTCTGCAGGCAAGCAGGCAGGGCCTCAGTCGGATCCGTAGGGACTGCCTTGGAGGCTGTGGGGACCGTCAACAACCCGTCTCTGCCCCCAAAAGTGGAGGGCCAAGCCACCTGTCCCGGGAACACCCCCCCTCCCCCGTTTTGCACAGGACTGGCTCCCGTCCCTGCAGAAGCCACCTACCGTAAAGTTGGGTGGTGATGGTGTAGCCGTAGCTGCTGTTCTTCTTCCAGGCAAGGAAGGCGTAGTCGTCGTAGTTGGTGCGAGCCACGTAGCCCACAATGTGGGTCTCCCACCCTGGGGGGGGGGGGGGGGGGAGGAAGGCAGAATGATTTTCCCCCCCCCGGATCCCCCATACCCCCCCCCCCCCCCCATTTCCTTCCCCTTCCTAGGAGCCCCACTCCTATGAACCTTCCTATGGCCCCAAACGCTTCCCACTCCCCCGGAAGCCCACCGGCTGAGCACCGAAGTCTCCCAACCTACTAGAATTGTAGTATTGGTATTTTCCCGGGGTGCTGGTCTTTTGGTAAACTCCGACCACTTGGCTGCAGATTCCTTGCCTGCAAGGGGTGGGTGGGTGGGAAGAGTGGCTGAGAACCGATTGCGTGGCCTGAATTGTTAATTCCCGACTGGTCTCGCAGCCACGAGGGCCGAACTTACCGCAGTCTCGTGGAGGTGACTGACAGCTCCTTGCTGGTGTCTCCCGGAGCCACCATCAGGGTCCCCCCCGAAAGGAAGCGACTCTTATATGTCTTCAACCACTTGCAGGTGGTGCCAAGCGCGATGGCGTACCACTTGCCATAGACCTGGTGAGGACAGCCCAAAAGAGGTCGTTTTAAAACCATGTCCGATGCCCGTCTGGCGGCAGACTTGGGCCGAGTTTTCCTCCATTGCTAAAGGCCGGAGTTTCTGAGACTCTTGGCCACCGTATTTTGGTGCCGGTCCTCCATTGGAGTCAGGGATCCTCGGGACATTTCTAGCTAGAAATTCCAGCTCCGGGTCCCTTTGTTTTGACTAAACGCTAGCAGAAGCGGAGTTGAGCCAGACCCATCAGAATGAAAGGAACGGCGAAAGGGATTGCGGGCTGAGCCGTAGGAAGGCCCCCGTTCCTCGTGTTATCACGTCAACGCAAGGGAGTCTTACTCTTGCTTCGTCAAAATCCTTCTGGATTTGGATGGGGTCAGCCGGAGCGACTGGATTGCCGCTGGCCGAGAGGAAAACGGCGCTGCAGATGAGAAGAAGGCCCTGCGGTTTCATGGCTGCGGCTGCACTTCTGCTCTGCTTCGCTTCTTACCGCCGGTTCTGGCCCTGCCGAGGGACAGCTTTGTTTTTTTAGCGTGGGGAAATTTGAACTTTGGTCTCTGGGCTGCACCAAAGGTGAACGGCCTTGCGATGAACGTGGCCACCTGGGAGCCTGAAGATGGGGTCTCCTGCAAGACCCCTTCCTTTTCGGCGGAGGGTCCTGGTGGGCAGATCTGCGTCTTTGTCCTCTGCAGGGAGGCCATTCCTGGGGATCTTTGCTTGGGTCCGGCTCGACCCAAAGGCATCCTGACACCATGGGGTGGGGGGTGGGGGTCTTCCTGTCAGCCTGCAGACCCTCAAGCCCTCCCTTGCTGTCCGGGCTCCTTGTCCCAAGAATAATTAACCAAAGCAAACAGTGGGAGAGACAACAACCGGCTCCCAAGGTTGTAAACTCCAAGGTTTTTTCGGTTTGGACATTGGATTCTAAACATACGATGTTATCGAAGGCCAGCAGCCAAGATTCATCAGAAGTGCCCAAAATCTGAAGTGTGTTTTTTTGGCCCACTCTGTTTTTGCTGTAAACAAAACTTCCTGCATTGCTCCCTGGTGGGCAGCACACAGGAAACCGGCCAGTTAGCCCAGATGGGATTCAGGCAAAGCCAGGAGGGGACCCTTTTTGGGCCTAAGAGGGGCTTTAGCAGCCGTTCAGCTCAGCCTCGGGCCCTCTGGGTGAAGCCGGGGCTGGCAGAGCTCCAGAAGCCTCGGCGAAGCAAAGCCTCCATGGAATGGGGGGCCTTTCCCGGGGAGGGGGGGGGATCGGGTGGTCCCTTCGGTCACATGTTAAACTGGCCATTTTCCACGCGAGTTGGGCGGGACCCGCTCGTGGGAGTGGGGGGTGGGGGAAGTGTGCAGGACTCCTGGACCGGCTCCTGCAGAAGAATTGGCCAGCTCTTCAAGGCAGGATTCTAGCGGAGACGCCCCGACGGGTTCCAGGGGGGAATCTTCAGATTGTGATGCCTACGTGTGACACATAAAGGCGTCACAATTTCCCTTCAGATGTCACAGAGGCCCAGCAAAGGCTGCACAAATCCAGGCTGGAACAAAGGAAGGGGTGACCTTTGCTGGCACTTGCTGTCCGTCTCTCTCCAGGCGCACCCAGACGTTTCCTTGGAGCAAAAGGAGGCGAGATCCAAAGGACTCAGGATGAGGTTCAAGAGGAAAAAAGATCTGAAGGAGCAAATCCGTGAACTGCAGGCCATCATTCACATCCAAGGTAGCCCTCCGAGTGCAGCCACTTGGCTGGATCCAGGATGAGGAGCCTCTGTGGCGCAGTGGTTAGAGTGCAGTACTGCAAGCTACTTCTGCTGCAGGCAGCTGCCTACAATTTGGCAGTTCAAATCCCACCAGGCTCGAGGTTGACTCAGCCTTCCATCCTTCCGAGGCGGGTCAAATGAGGACCCCGATTGTTGGGGGCAAGAGGCTGACTCTGTAAAACGCTTAGAGAGGGCTGTGAAGCACTATAAAGCGGTATATAAATCTAAGTGCTGTTGCTATCTTCCTGACCAGGGAGAAGGGAGGGAAGTGCTCCCAGCTGGCCTTTTGCAAGGGGATCTTGCTGGGCTGCTGTCTTATGGGAGGACCTGCAAGAAGGGCCTAGTGCAGCAGCCCTCTTCCTTCGGTGGAGTCCCCTCCACCCGCGTTTCTTTCCAGAACAAGGGAGGAAGCTCCGCACCCAAGCAAGTGAGGAGGCCGTGCGCAAGAACAGGGACCTGATTGCCTTTCTGCGCACTACGCTGCGGGCTGAGATGCATGAGCTGAATCTCGGGCTGAAGGTGAGCGTTCTGAGTATTCTCAGAGGGAAGGAGAGGCAGGGTGGCTGGCGGCTGGTCAATCCTAAACCCTGTCTTGCCCCTGTTGGAATCTGATTTCGAGGGGGAGATTGAGCAGCTGACAGGGAGTGGGAGTGTGGCTCCGGTGGCTATGGAAGAAATGGGGGAAGGACACAGTCCAGCTGGACATTCAGAGGAAGACCCAGGGCCACCCCCTCTTCATCCTAGGGCACGCAGGGAGGAACTGAGAAGGGAGCAACATGAGTTATGGGGGAGAAAAGGGCCCTGGTTCCCTTCATTAGCTGCAGCTGGAAAACAGGATTTAAAAAGGGTGTTTGTGCACAGCACCTTACTGGAAGCGAAGTGTGAATTATCTTTGTTTGTCAAGTCCTATCTGGGTTCTGGCGTCCTCCCAACTGTGTGTGTTTCGTTGTCTTTTGAGTTCTGCAATTCCTTATCCTGCCCTGTCTTGTTAAATGCTGCAGCGTGGTTTGTGTTGGTTTTTATTTTTAATGTATGTGTACTTTGGGTTCGGACTGAATTTCTTCTCTTTAAAAACTGTTCTTGGGAGAATTTTTTTTCTCCAGCCGATGATAACTGGACATTGGGGACCAAATTGGAGGTATTGAAGGGACTTTACGTACTTTTGTGCCTTTGTTACTTTTGTGCCACGCCCCTTTGGGTCACCACAAGCCCTCTCCGCCTGTCCCGTCAGGCGGTAGTCTGCAGCTCTCACCTCTCTTTCTCTGCTCCTTGCAGTATGACCACGTCACGATCAGCAGGGCCTGCCTAGACAGGAAGCGGGTGAAAATCGCTATGGCAGATTATACCATGGAGGTAAGTGGCAGGCAGGTCTTTCCCCCAGCACCTTTCCTCCAGGTCTCCTCAACGGGCCCTTCCACTCCTTCCTAGCAAGCTCGGGAGTCCCTGAGCCAGCGCGTCTTCGACCGGATAAACACCCACAACATCCTCCTGTATGAAGTCAAGCGCCGGGGCAACCGCCTGGAGGAGCTCCAGGGGATTCTGCAGGGCCTCATCGACCTGGAAATGGCCAGCCCTGAGCTCCAGCTGCAGCTCCAGGTGAGATCTGCGTGGCTGCCCTGCCCTGCCACAGGACAGAGGGCCTCTAGGATGCCCCGGGGGGAGGGCAGGGCATGTTTCCCTCTGCCTTCTTTGTGCACACAGACCATCCGTCAGCTGGAGAACAATATCGAGAAGATGCAGGTGAACATCATGACTGCAGACAAGGTCCACATCCTGTATGTGAAGATGGTGGGCGTGCTAAGAGGCGTGAGTCCAGTGCGGTGCTTTGGCCATGCTCTGCAGGGAATCTTCTTGCTCACAGAGGGGGTGGGCTCTGGTCAGGGGTGGGATTCTACCAGTTTGCACCTATTCGCTAGAACCGGTTGTTCACATTCTAAGCAGTTCGGAGAACCGGTTGTTAGAAGAAATTACTGGGCTAATCCTGTAAGGAAGGCAGGAAGGAAACATTCTGGTGTTGCTTATAGAAACTGCCTCTCCGTTGATCCTTATTACATTCTTGGCAGGGCTAGACTTCCTGTCTCAGGAACTTCTCTGGAGTTTTTTTTCCCCCCTTCCTTTGTTGGTACTTTGCTTGTGTGGAGGGACCATTCAAAGTTAAAAAGGCACTGAAAAAAGTGACTTATGACCATTTTTCACACTTATGACTGTTGCAGCATCCCCACAGTCACGAGAGGCCAGGCGAGGAGATGCGTGCCTCGATGTGAGTGATGTTGAGTTGGCCACGCCCAGCCAATAACATGACCACCAAGCCACTTAAGCCACACCCACAGAACCGGCTGTTAAAAAATTTGAATCCCACCCCTGGCTTTGATCCAAACTGGGGCGGTCCCTCTCTGCTCAAGCCTTGGAGGAGGTGGGGGGGAAATCCATCCTGGGCGCTGATCTCGTTGCCGGAAGTGTCCCTTTGTGGGTCCTGGAAAGTTGCAACCCGTTCACTCTGCAGGCTCTCCAAAGAGAGAGATGAAGGACCGAGAACGCAGGGAGGGAGGGAGGGAGGGAGGGAGGGCCAGGGCCTCTTTCCTCCTCCTTCAGCGGCAGTCCTGATGGCTGTGCTGGGGACAAGCGTGCCTGCCCTCTTCCCCCCCCCCCCCCCCCCGCAGGAGCTTTCTCAGCTTCCTTTTGTCCTGGAGGACTTGGAGCACCGAGTGGGCACCTACCAGACGGAGCTGCAGGGGATGGACCTGATGGCCAAGGATATGCAGGAAGCCATGGAGGCTGCCAAGGTGAGAGGGGCAGCCGTGGGCCCGCTCAGCCTCTGCCCAGCACTCCCACTCACCCTTCCTTTCCCCTGGGCCTGCAGGAGGACATGGCCAACGCGGAAAGCGAGCTGATTGCGGAGAAGAAATTCAGGGAGAACTCGCTCAGCATCCAGAAGAAGCAGATCGAGCGCATCCGTGCGAAGGACCCCATCGAGAGGCACCGGCGGATGGTGAGTCCTTCTTGAGGCCCCTGGAGCCCTGCTGGCCGCCTTGAGCAAGCCGCCGTGGGGTCTGGCTCCAAGTGGGCCCTCCGCATCTAGGGGGCCTCTGAGGGGGACACAGTCCAGGGCTGAGGCTTCTGGGGCTCCCCTGCCTTTTGCGAGAGCCGCTTCCCCTAATTGGTTTGGTTGGCTTTTATTACCAGCAAATCCGGAGAGACATGGACTTCCCTGCCCTGATGATGCGCGAAGGAACAAGGGGCAAGTATGCCGATGTGCCCGCCCAGCCCTTCTCGCCAGGCACGGAGAGGCACAGCTGGACAGGTCTTCTGTTCTGTTCTTCCAGGCGCAAAGCTGGAGGCTTCCAAGGCCCAGATTGAGTACCAGGGTCTGGTGACCAGCGAGGTGGAGAAAGTCAAAAGTGCCGTGCAGTGCTCCCATCTCTGGGTACGTCCAGCAGCCCGGCCCGCTCTTTCCTTGGCGCTGAGGAGATTCCTCCAAAGCTTCGCCGTGAGCCTTGCAAGGAGAGCTTTCAGCAGCTCCGTATCCTGGTTGCCTCTTTTCTTCTCCAAGGATCCCCCATCAGGAGCTGGGAGGACCCGGGGCATGATGCAAAAATAACAAAGTCACAAAAGTAGAATAAATTCCCTTTAATGCCTCCAACTTGGCCCCCAATGTCCAATTATCCTCGGCTGGATAACAAAATCTTCAAAAAACAGTCTGCGAAGGGCAGATATGCAGTTTGAACCCAAAGTAAAGATAATTAGAAATAAAAAAAAAAACCAACACAAACCACACTGAAGTAATTAACACGGCAGGC